AATCTTCACTAAATGCTAGTTGTTATTTTGGCCTATGATTACTCATTTAACTTGGACCCAGATCATTGTGAACAAGTGATGAGTAATCTAGTTATACTTTGAGGGTCTGTACCAGTAGCTCATTCCTACTGGTTCAACTAATGCTTAAAATATTGTCACAAAAACTATAATCCTTTTCTTCTGCTATAACTACCCAGCTTTAGAATTATTATTCAATAGAGCTTTCTTTTCTTTTTTTGACAAAGATTTAATTGATATGGAGGTGACACAATAATTCTATTAGCTACCCACTCTCCCTCCCCCCAGCATTCCCATACATACACAAAATGTATGGACATGATATGCTCAGCATTATAAATAAAAGGGGAAGTTATTTTTCCTAAATGGGGTTCCCAGGAAACTGGAAGCTGGTCCTGTTCTCTTTGTAATATAGACAAAGTAGAGTTGTTCAAGCAGGAAGATCTCACTAAAAAGGGAGGAGAGGGGAGAGTCATAATCTTGAATATCAACTTAAAATCCAAATTTCTTGAGTTTTCAGAAAAGGGTCTTCTTAGAAAAGGACCTCAGAACTAACACACTGACATTATTAAGGGTTAACTTGAAACTTAACTGGTTTGCAGTGTTGCCATTTTGTCAATTTACTAAGTAAATCTAAAACATAAGATTTCAAAGCTTAAAAAAAAACATATTCATGTGAAAAAAATGTATTGGAAAATATGTATATAATACAAATCATAATGTCAGCCAACAGTCATATAGTATTTATTATAAGCAAGGCACTGTTCTACAACATGTTTTCCCATATACTAATTCATTTAATCTAATAACCATATCTATAGGCAGAGGGACAAGCTACCTACTTGGCATGGAGCTGAAAGTAGGCATTTTGGGAAATGTGATCTAGTTCCCAATGGCTGCTTCAGATTTCTACCTCTCAGCTAAAGTGAAGATTCAGTTAGACTTCTGAATTGCATAGTCACCCTGCCATTAAACACTGTTTACAGTCACATGAAGGTATCTTCCAATGCTAACCACGCAGGGCAATATGGCTGTAACCAAGGATAACTGAGTTCCAATGTTCCCACACAGGGGGTTGTCCCTAATCTAGTTTCAACATGTACAGTTCCCATCAGGAGGCCAGAGTGGCTCATCATTTGCCCACCGATTTTCAGTCAGAAAAGTAATAGCACTGTGTAAAAGGGGAAATGTAGGTTGAATATTCTTTCTTTATTGCTAAGCTGAGAAAAAGAACCACCATTTATGCTACACTTTATGCCAGGCATTGCAGCAGGTGCCTTAAACATTAGTTTGAATTCCTGCAATAACCTGAAAAATAGGTGCTATTTTAATGTGAAAGATGAAGAATGTGGTGATCATCAATATTAACTGAAAATGCATTCAGAGTAGGATGAAAGAGGTCTGTTTGTAGAATTTGAAATTGGATAAGGTCTTATTTTTGCTCCCAGAGCTTAACAGAGCAGTGGGTGCACAGGAGGACTCAATACTACTTGATCAATGGTGAAACTGGTAATCTACCACTTACACAACTTCCCTCCTCATTAAGAGTTCTGAAGGGAACTACATGGTAATTCCAATTGATCAAACACTTGCTAGAAGGCATATTTACTCGCATTCAAGAATATGCCAGATTTTTCCTGTTTCATTAATAGCCATAGAAAGGCACTTAAGTAATGAACATAGCACATTTTCAGAGAAGATATTTGAAGGGGCTGTGGATCAGGGAGATCAGAGAACTCTAATATGTAAATACTCAGGGAGTGCAAAAGACATTAGTGTGCAACCCACCTGTAGAAGTTATCCTGCACAACTTTACAAAAATATCAGCTTCCTTTTGCTTGAGCAGGAGCAAAAGTGCACAGCAGATATAATTCATTTCTGAATAACCCAATATGTAATTTTTCTAAAAAGTCAGTTTTTTAAAACATGATCTGATGATAATCTGAAATGATTTCTAGCTTTATCAAACATTATCCAAAATCTAATAATATCAACAAGTACAGTTTTTGCACATGTTTTGTATTCAAGATAAAATGAAAGCAAGAAAAAGATATTTAAGAAAATCAGTAGATTAAGAAAGAAAGGCTTGCAGGAGGAACATTCTATAATAGAACAACATTCATATTTGCAGAGCATTAAAGAAAAATACTTGGGAAATAGAAAAACATATAAACTAAGAATCTCATAGGAAGAATCTCATAGGAAGATGTCATGGAAAGAGAGCCAATTCTACCAAAAGAGCAAAGTACACGAATTCTTAAAGTTGGACATACAAAGTTATCAGGAATTGGACAGAACAAGTCAATGCAGAAAAGAGATCTCACAAAATGTAATATAGAAAGAAAAAGCACTCATGGAATATAATACTGAGACACTTTCAAGAAAAGATAAGATCACAAAAAAAGTCTAAGGCAAATGATTCCATCGAAGCCACAAAATATGGAGTTGAAGCCTTAAGAGGAGCTGATGAATTGAAAACAGGAGAGTATGGGGAGAAAAAAAATGCCGAGGAAGAGGATGAGAACTTAAACTAAGCTTGGTACAAGATTCTTGAAGCAGGTGTCATCAGATAGAGGCAGTAGCTGTTGGTTTTGGAAACCTGACAAGAGCCTTTGTTGCAGTAGCACAAAATTTACACAACAGATTCATGCATGGAGCAAGGCAAACAGGGTTCTGCTTCATGGAGCTTCCCTACTTGTGGAGGAACACAAGCTATGCATTCATGAACAGATAAAGAAGATTCTTTCACACAGTGTGAAGTGTGATAAAGAAAACAAGGGCAGAAATATTATCTGGAGTATGGCTATTAACAAACTGCTTCCCACTTTCCGTTGTGCTAAACTGTTGAAGACAACTGACAAAACTCAAGTGAATAAAAAGGACAGGAGGATGACAAAAGCATAATATCTCTCTTCTCTCCTCCCTCCTTCCCCCGAAACTCTCAATCCTGGAGAAAGAGACATAAACGTGTCTAAAAGAAATGATGAGTATGACCCATAAACAAAAGCTAGATTTTGATAATTTACCTGGGCTTAAGAAGAAGAAGAAAAAAATGTAACAATTTTAAATGCAATGAGTTCTCACAATAAAGTTCACTAGGACTCCATACAAGAGGTTGATAGACCATACTCAGGACAGAGGAAGCAAATTCAGCAAGTAGAATAATTAGTAGGAACTTGAACTGTTTTCAGTGCTTTATGAATACAGAGGAACATGCTGAGAAAAAAAAGGACTACTCTCTAGAAAATGTGAATCGGGAAAACAGATATGAGCACAACCCAACACCTGATTTTGTTTGATGAATAATTTACGCTAGAAGATCTCAGAGAAGATCAGATACAAAGAGAATGTTCTGGATGGGCATGTGAGAATAAGAGAAATAGGGAAAGAAGAAATCTGAGGGAGGAAGAGAAAAAATATGGGACTGATACACTATATTTAAAAAGAAACTTCTTTTATATGATATATAGAAATAGAGAATACAAATGAAAACAAAGTCAGGATCTTGACAAAAGGCCCCGGAAGGCATCATAAAAGGGACTCTGTCCAGATAACCAAAGCAGGGTGGTTATAAAGAGCTATAAACTGGAGGAATGGAATGGATGATAATCAGAATTCTAATATAGGAAAGAAGATTCTGCAGGCTGAGAATTTTGATGGTGGGGTGCAGGGAGAGGAGGGTGGACAAGAACACAAAGTCTGGCTTTCCCAAGCCTTCTGCTCCTCACTGGCAGTCAGTAGCTTTTCTAAGAGGTTAGAGTACAAAGCTAAAATCAATGGGAGGTAGTGATATTCAAAAAGAAAGGCAAGGCACACATTCTGAACCACCTTCTAAAAAATTCAAATATCAGAATGAGTAGTTTTAATATCAGAATGAGTAGTTTTACTTCAAAATGATATTCTTCACAGCAATGCAATTGAGTTATTGTATTGTGACGTGAAGTTTTTCTGGGGTTCTGTCTAGGTGACATAGATCGTGAGTTTGTGGTTAGCTCAGATCTGCCTCATTCCTTTTGATAAGCTAAATAAGAAAAGGGCTGGATTTTAAGAAACACTGGAAATGCCCCTAGTAGTTGTTGTTATGAATATCTGGGCGGGGGGAGGGAGGGGAATCCAGGCTGGGACTAATTGTCTGGGCCCACAGCTAACAAAAAAGGAGAGGAAAGGGTGCATGGCTGGATGGAAACAGGGTTTGTGTTGGTCAGCCATGCATGTCACAGAGGAGGAGGAGAAATTATGCATCAGCTTGAGTTAAAATGCAACAGCTTACATTTTAGGGTGGCATGGTAAGACTCAAATGGTCTATTACATACAGCAAAGGCTGCACCTGCTGTTTGTTTGACCACTGCCATAATAGTCTCACTTTTGAAATTCAGAAATATATCACTTAAGATAATTCTACTTTTTGTCAGTAGAAAAGTCAAATAATTTTCCACAATGCACTGCAATTTTATAGCTGACAACTTTGCTACAGGTGACCAAAGGAAAGCCCATGCTAACGTTACTCAGCAAAAATTAGGGTGTGAGTTAAGTGTGTGTATTCCCACTGCTGTTTCTGAAATACACAATCTTGGTGGGTTTTGTTTTTAATTCTTTTTCTTTTTCTTTCAAATGTCTTCATTGATTAAGGTATTACATATGTGTCCTCTTCCCCCTATTAATCCCCCACTCATGCCTTCACCCCCTATTGTCTGTGTCCATTGGTTAGGCTTATATGCATGCACACAAGTCCTTTGGTTGATCTCTTCCCCTTACCCCCACCCTTCCCTACCTTCCCTCTGAGGTTTGACAGTCTGATCAATGCTTCTCTGTCTCTTAATTCTTTTTCAATTAACATGTAAAAGCAATAACCCTTCTCTCTCAACAAAGCATTCTGTAATAGGATGGATGTTTAGATTCAAATGCAAGGTTTTTCTGAGGACAATAGCATGCAGCAAAGATTTAGAGTAAGCAAAGAAAGTAAGAAAAAAAAGTCGACTAACCTAACCCACCTGAGCTCGGCTCACAGGGGTCAATGTCCTCGTCATCGCTGGGACACTCTGCTGAGGCCACAAGGATGTCATCTGTGGTCTGTAAAGAAAAGCACATGCAGTCGGTTAATTTAAAGGATCCCAACAGAGCTCCTCATCTTGGTCTCATTGACAAGTGAAATACGTGTGTGTTTACTTGATACACTGAGAAACCAAATTCAGTACTTATTTCCCTTCCCAAAGACACAGAGCTTATTTTTTTTTTCAACCTACTGTAGATCTCTCATGGACTTGTGAAAACGTGTATTTGTGAAAACACAGAACTTATTTTACAGGAAAACAAGGAAATGGTGGGAGCCAAGTCTAGACACCCACCCATTCAGCAGCATACAGTAGCGTACAGGTTTAAAAGAGCCTGACAGAAATGGATGATTTGGGATTTATGACAGCCCTGGAGTGCCACAATGTATGTGTTAGTAGGTTTTATGCTATACTTGTAGTTGGCTTCCTAAAAGCAGAATAGCTATAACCTTTTTTATTCATGACCAGGTAGAGTCTGATGAATTTTTGAGCTAGAGCTTGTCCTTACTAGGAAACAAAATGTATTTCACTGATGTGAAAAAGGAAGCAAGTGTAATTTACTTAAGGTATTTGAAAAATATGTGTCTAGCTTTTATACTGAATGTTTGTTTTTGTTACAATTCAGTAGCATACATCACGTACACATTGTTCTTTTATCATTAAGGTGTCATGATAAGTGAAAAGCATATTTGAGTGAGGGGGTGGTATTTTACAGTCAATAGGAAAGAGTTGTCAATTTTCTTTGTGACATTCTAGTTGCTTCATTGCACTTACAGCAAAGAAAAAGACAGCGATCACTGTAATAAAAAGTAGAGTGTGTAAATCCTAGCAGTTAATCACACAGTCAACTCATTTATAAGCACTAAAGGTTGTTCTTTACTGCCACTTACAAGCAGCAGTAAACTCAAGCATAGTTATTGCGTGGAGATGGTGAGGTTTGCATCAGATCTGACTAATGGTAGCACAAAGAGAATGCAAGGTACAAGAAGGAAAATATCTCATTACATTGGCTAAGGATTAAGGAGATAATAATAGTTTAGAGAATACTCAGAACTGCAACATTAATGAAATCCTTATTTAAAAGTGGAATTAACTGAGGTGGTAGCCATGTATAGTGAAGCATGTTAACTGGACTTATTGTGATCATTTTGCAATTTATATAAATAGTGTATCATTATGTTGTACACCTGAAACTAATGTTATAACAGCTATACCTTAGTAAAAATTAAAAAATAATAATATAGATTTAACCATTTTTTAAAAAGCCAAAATATAACATGACTTGCTTTCATTAAAGCAGTAACTAATACAGACCAAGATTAAAGCATAAATAAATGTCAAGAAAATTGTGCCATTTTGAAAAATGGAGACAAGTTTTGTGACAAAATATTAGGCTTAAAAAATCTCTTAAGTGCAGGAACATAAAGAATAAAGAATTTGTTCAGATGCTAATTTTTCTTAAATAGAACTTTAATTAAATGGAAACATTTAAATAGCATCATGAGATGGCTTCATATTATTCTGCTCTTAATTCTTCTGAGACAATTAGGAGACTGGATTCATTCATTTTGCTGCTGTTATTTTAAAAGATGAAGTTCAAAATATCAGTTTTCCTTGAATTGTAACGGTTCATGTTAGTGATAACTACCAGCAATTGGTGTGACAATTACATGGGTATCTTTCATTCAAGTGAGGTTTAAAGGCAAAAAAAAAATCCTCTTTTTGGCACAAGCACATCCTTCAGGCTAATATCCAAACTGACTTGATAACAAGTTATTGGATTAGGAGGTTTTGCAGGCCAATTGTTCCAATTTGCCCCAGAGCAGAACCCTCACTTTTTATAGAGCTAACTTCAAATACAGAGATACTTTTTCTCAATCACAGTGCATACTCTTTAAACTTAATTTCAGGGTTACAAGAGAATTTCTCATGTTCCTTGAAGAATGCCAACTACATTGATGCAATCAGTGTAGGGCTGCTGTTGTTATTCTTGATAGGAGGATGTGAGTCAATTCTCCAATCTCCTGCTTCTCACCCCAGCAGTGATCTATTATTTCACAAATGTAGGACCAATTGAACTTTTCTGTTATATTTATAAATAATATAATTTTAGATATTGAACTGGAAGTTGTATGTGTGAATTATACATGTAGGATCTCATGTTAATATATAATCAAAATACAGTGGCTATACTGGTACTTTGTTGCGTTAAGCTTCCCTCTTTTACTGCCTAGGTTCAAATTCTGAATGAGAAATCAAGCATGCATGATAAAGGCTGCTTCTCAAAAGAAATTCATGGACTGAAAATGTGTGACTCCTTGGATAGTGTTTGGTGCAGACTAAATCACTTAGCCACACAAGTTAAATTCTGTTTTAAAAGTTGACCTATTTTCTACATTCAACAGCCTTTGGGACAATTCCATAGCAAACAGAAAGGGTTAGAATGTTCTCTGTTATCTTTCACAAAATATAGTGCCTAAAATAACAAAACATGTCATCCATTAAATAGTACCTTCTATAGACTTTTCAAGTAGAAAACAAGCTGTGCAAATATGAAATTATTTTAAAACTATAGATTTTAATGTACTTTTCCTGTTCCTGGTATAATGAATATACTTTCTTGTTTTTCACATTTTCCTTCAAAAATTAAAACCCAGCGCTACCTTTAAAAAAAAAAAGTAACAGTATTGTGAATAAAAGTTCTTAAGTCAGTAGAGACAGTGTAACAATCATCACTGTATGAAAAAATGAAGTGGCTCAAATGTAGAGAAAAAATTAAATTTTATTTTGGAGGCTGAATTAATTTTCTAGCCAAAGCTGTGTAATTTAAATTTAATTCATTGTGTTTAGAACTGTCCCAATATAACATGCTGTTGAGAGAGTGGTAGAAAGAAACTCAAATATATCACATCAATCAGTCCTATTCTTTAGTATTCTCATTGCTGATGCCTATAACCTTTTTCAGAGAAGAGACTACCTGTTGAAAGAGACAAAATAGTGATCAAGCAAAAACATTAGCTTTGCATAATTATCCATTTAACCATGCAGAGGCCAAAGAGCCATGCTGATCTTCCCTGATACAGAGTGGTCTGAGCATGCTAAATGGATTCCCTGATGACTGATACATTCCTATGAGCACACCTACCATCTCTCCTAGGACAAATCTGCTTTGTGAGGAAAAGAGCAACTCCAACTGAGAAAAGGATGCCCATTATAAATGTGGTGCCCACAAAGGAATTCTTGATTTACTCTAAAACTTCTATTGAAGGGGTTTCTAAACAGAAATAGTCTATTTGGCTATACATCCAAAAAAGAGAAAAATATTTTCCGATGCTTGATTTTCTCATGCTTACTTACATAATATTATTTAGCCTAATTATTCACTGCTGTGAGTGACATTTACATTGAATTGATTGAGAAAACTGATAGGTGGAGTGTGATGTTAGCTGAAATGTGAAGTTTGGCTAATTGATGGATACTAGTTCTTGATAATACTTTTGTTTATATGATGCTACTCTGGAAGAGAGAGCATTATGTCTGCTTTACAGGACTGAATCTGATAGCCTTTCCATAAACGATTTATTGCTAGGTGTGTTTCCATGAAAAAAAAAAGATGTCAGAATTGGTATTACAACATCTCCAAGGTAGGTGTGACCCACTACATAGATGATCTATGAGGCAAGACATTTCTAGGAGGTGTGGAAAGTCACAATTTTGATCTAGAGCAGTGGTTCTCAACCGTCCTAATTCCATGACCCTTTAATACAGTTCCTCATGTTGTGGTGACCCCCAATCATAAAATTATTTTTGTTGCTATTTCATAACTGTAATTTTGCTACTGTTATGAATCGTAATGTAAATATCTGTGTTTTCTGATGGTCTTAGGTGACCCACAGGTTGATAACCGCTGCTGTAGAGCCTAAAACCATTGGAAAACACAGATATTTACATTACGATTCCTAACACTAGCAAAAAATATGAAGTAGCAACAAAAATAATTTTATGGTTGGGTGTCACCACAACATGAGGAACTGTATTAAAGGGTTGCAGCATTAGGAAAGTTGAGAACCACTGATCTAGAGGAAAAACTGCACCCCCTCAAAAAATGCAATTATAATACATATTTTCAAGTTCAAGTTCCAAACAGTGGATCAATTTTATCAAATCAATAAAGAAACTTATCAAATTGGTAATTTTAGTTAATCAAATTGGTAATTTTAGTTAATCAACAATGCTATTAAAAGAGCAAAGGATTTTAGAGAGCACATAGACCCTGTGGTAGTTTCCATTATCTCATTCAAACTTTTGGTTCTTATTTATTAATTGGTTGTTTGTTTTTCTGAGAAGTAGATGCCATATAAAGCTGTCAATCACATGGCTCCATAATCTAATTAAAATTAAAATAATAAACCAAGATCCAATTTGAGAAGGATGAATTTTAGCTCCAGTACATGAATAACAAAGAAAATGAGGACCAATTAGTCACCATCAAATACGAAATAGTTCATCTATGCACAGCACTTTCTGATGGGCAAAAATGTGGTCATTACCTAGCAAGGTACAAATTATGGTTCTTACCAGCAAATAACTTATTGTGCCCTCTCTATTCTAAAGCATAGGAACAAACCACTCATTAATACAAATAACAATCAATTCCATTCAAATAGCATATTTTGTCTTGAAATAGAACAGTGCTCCCATATCTATCACTTTGTTAAATATTCACAAATAATGTGCTTGTTCAGAACACAGGTGGAGGAGCTATTATTCTGAGTGATATAGCTAAGTACCTGCTAAAAAAATAAATCCTTTTGTACATTCATTTACTCCATTCAAATGTTTGAACATTGACATTCATGAATATTTAGGGAAAAGCTTAAATATCCCTGAAAACAGCCAGCTTTCACATTTCTTTAATGTGTGTTTTTTCCCAGCTGATGCCTTAGGTTATTATAAAAAGTGACCATAAGTCAGCTGTCTGCTTGAGGAAAAGACAGGCTTGAAAGCCATTCAATTTTC